AATATTATAAAAGCAACTACATGATCATCAGGACTCGCAAATTATGAAGTTTCTTTTAGGAATTTGAAAATTTTCACAATTTCTTCCATCGAAAAATATCGCATCCAGGGAATTACATATTCGTTGTATAAAACAAAACTGCAGTAAAATAAAATACATTTGGTAGTATGGTTTCCGCTACGCCCGATCTACAGCTGATGTGCTTACGTCCATCACTGAAACCGTTTACCAAGCCTTTCAAAATAACGGTGAGGCTCGTGCTGTGGCCCTCGACATCTCCAAAGCATTCGATAGGGTTTGGCACGCCGGCCTTCTTCGTAAGCTCCAGGGGTATGGTGTTACTGGTCGACTGTTTGATCTAATACAATCATTCCTGTCTAACCGAGAATTGAAGGTCGTTCTCAATGGATTCTCCTCCAGTTTCTATCCCACGAACGCAGGTGTTCCCCAAGGCTCCATCCTTGGCCCCACTCTTTTCCTTATTTTCATCAATGACCTTCCTGACGCCATAGATTCCCAAGTTGGCATCTACGCAGACGACACTACAATTTACTCCTGCCTCAAAAAAAAATCTAGTGTCGGCGACAAAACTAACCTGGCCGTGCGTCTTGAAATGGACCTCCAATCGGTTGTTAACTGGGGCAAGAATTGGCTGGTCAACTTCAACGCCTCAAAAACTAAATTACTCTCCATTAACCACCATAGAGATCCTTCCCTGCTCCCCATTAAAATGTCTGATAGTCAACTTCCTGAGAGCAACTCCCTGCGTCTGCATCTCCAGTTACCTTGATCTACCCACTATCCTTCTCCTCATCCTTTCTTCTATCACTCCTATCTGCTCTCGCTCCAAATCTTCCGCACCCCCCGGCATCCTAGTGGCTTCACGCCTTGCTTGGGGCGTAATGCTTAAAAAAATATATATATATATATATATATATATATATATATATATATAATTTAACCTAGTAGCTTATATAAGTGCGTTTTTTTTTATCCATTCTAGAGATCTGTTTTCTAACCTAAATATATCTATCTATCATGAAAAGCCGTAAATATGTGATTAGGTAAGAAGGCTCACCAACCAAAGCGTTTCATGTCTGAGCAATGATAGTGTTTCCATCTATGAACCGGAAACCCGTTGACAATAATGAAGAAGATGTGAGCATGTGCAGAAATCATTCCGGAAGTTCATCGTGACTGAGACGAAAATAAAACTGAGATCGGTGTATATATCTCGCGAACATTCAGGTCACAGTTTCTCAAAATACAAATGAACATCACAAAACAAGACCTTATATGTGGCAATTTGTTGGGCGTCGCAAAAGAGGAGGCTTTTAATGTGCGCGAAACAAAGAGTTGCATCCATTTGCGAGATAGTAAGTAGATTTTTAGAAATGATTTGGAAGACATCAGAATAGAAGAAAGAAAGAATTTGCTGAATACGTCTTTACGGAGTGAATGAATAAGAGTCAATGGAATTTGGAAGTCGGTTATTAAAATTACACTTCAGGAATTCGTAGATTGAAAGATGAACAGGCGGACAAAGACATGAACAAATTTAAATAGATAAATAGATAAATGAACTGACGGACCAGGACACGAATATAGATTTATATATATATATATATATATATATATATATATATAGATATATATATATATATATATTTATGTGTGTGTGTGTGTGCGTGTGTGTGTGCGTATATGGAGCCGGATAGATCGATACATAGAAAGAAAGAAAGAAAGAAACGAATATGACCGAGATAGAGAGATAGTTAGAAAGAAACGAACATGACATAGATAGATAGATAGATACGAAAATGACCTAGATAGAAAGATATGAAAAAAACTTTCTCTCTCTCTCTCTTTCTCTCTCTCTCTCTCTCTATCTATATATATATATATATATATATATATATATATATATATTACAGGTAATCGATCCATTGGTATATAATCCGGGTGGATATTAGTAATATTAATTATTAAAACCAATCCACAGATAGCTCGATGTTTTTTTTTACAGCAAAAAACCAAACATTACCCTCAATTACCCTCAAATGAATCCTCAAACAAATTGGAAAATTCTAGGTTTCGCGAACACTCCGAATAGTTTTAGGGATAGGTGCAAGCTATTTTTAGAAGAAAAATCAGAATAATAAAATATAAAGATCTACGCAAACTATTAAATCAACGGTGAAACTTAATCACGAAATCTAGGCAGAGGAAAAAAATCCAAATTACATAAGAATACATAAGAATGCATATATGTGGGGTTGTATGTATACGTGTAGTGTCATATATGTATGGACATGTAAATGTACATATATGTATGTATGAAGATATGTACGCATATAAGTGTGTTGGAAAACATGATTTATTCCATTGGGTGCTCGGGTATTAAAAAAAATCTATAAATCTATTACTCGACTAATTTACATTAATCTTAAAGGGTTTAAGTTTAAATTCCCCATCACTTATTAATAATACTGAACACCTATAGTACAAAAACTATTTACTGTGAATCCCAGAAAAACACATGCGGTGCCTGTATATGAAACGCCCCCATAGTAAGAACTGCTATTAAGCTACAAACAACCAAGATTCTGGCCATAAATAAACCAACTCCAGATCGCTTCACCCGGGTATAAGATATCTTATGCCTTCACCAATCACTAACACAAACCCATTATCATTAAAAAAACGTCTCCCAGATGAGGACTGGCATTGAAAATAAATTTAAAACAATGCTCCGAGACAAACACTTAGAGACTAATGATAGTCACGCAGAGAACGGCTTGAAATAGACTCTATATTGAGGTAAGGGTTGTTTTTTTTTTAATATATATATATATATATATATATATATATATATATATATATATATATATATATATGTGTGTGTGTGTGTGTGTGTGTGTAAAAATATATAGAAAATAGGAAAGAACTCGTTAGGTAAATATTCCAAAGTTCTTTAGTATTTTTTGTTATTATTTAAAAAAACAGAGCTCGATACAAAAGTAGAGCCTAAATATAATTATTTATTTAAAAATATGATTCCAACGCTACATAAGTTCTCATGTTTCAAAACAAGAGCCCAAAACTTCAATATATATATATATATATATATATATATATATATATATATATATACTTAGAAATATGGCTCCATCGAAACACAGGAATTTCCATGTTTCAAAAACAGAAGCTAAAAACTTCAAATTCAGTTATAGAATTAAATTAAAGTCCCTAGTTCTGTTTCATTTTTAAGCGAATTTTGGAATAACTTATTTTGAAAGTTACTGAGTTTTATAAGCATATACATTCATAATATTAGTCTCTATGGATATGGGGAAATCCAATCATTTTAACAAGGGGTGGTAGGGTATTCTTTTTCACTGACAACTATTGTATGAACTTTCTAAAAGTGCTTAAGTCAAGGTAGGGTAGGGGCGCCTTTTCAAACGAATGATGGCATCCGTTCAGCGCATATCGTCTGGTCTTTTCGAACGATAAAAAGTTTTTCGGCACTTTTATTTTACCGTTAAATTTGTACTTGTATACATAAAGAATTTTTGTAAAAGGTTTTTTTTTTGTATATGCATACGTCGTATTGAACTAAAATTTTGAAAAATTATTCTTAATTTTAATTACTAATAGACTATACATCTTATAAAATAAATAAATGTAATAGACTTAAATTATTTAAAAATTATTATTAAATATCATATATAAATATGTATATTTCATTTATCTTTTTTTTTTTAAATTAAACATTACTTAAGTAAAATTTTTGACAATGTCGTCAAAGAATTGCTATTTCATTTCTTTGATTAAGTAAATTTTTATTTTTTATAAACCTAGTAACATATAGTTTTTCATCTATCCAAAAAGGACATGGGTCATTTAATAACGTACATATTCTAGCCTTTCTTATTAATTTCCATTTCACAGTAGGTGTTTTATTGGTTTCATTTAAGTGCCAGAAATATTTCGATAGGGACGTCTGATTTCGGTATTTATTTATCCTAAAAGAACTTTGATGTAAGTTGAACCGTTTTCTGAACTCATGTCTTGTGCATCCAATGTAGACTTTTACTTTGTCTAGATCCTCAATAGATGAGATATTGCATTGGCAAACTAATGATTCAGTGCAACGTTTATTATTAAGAGGACATTTATGGGGATTTCTGCAGTTACATAATTTTTGTTTATCTTCATATCTTTTTATTATTATACTGTCAAAATTTCTTTGGTATTGGTCAAAGTGTTTATTCAAGATATTAACATTTTTTCTTAGTTTTCAGTATAGATGTAACCTAATTTTAGGGTATTTTTATTTAAAATAGTACTGAGTTTACTATTTTTAGGAAAATGTTTACGATTAATGCAAGGAATTTTTGTCCTAATTTTTTCTTTACCATTTGGTTGTATGGGGGTGTATACCAAATTATTTTTCTACCTCTGTTTTTTCTATGCTTTCCATTTTAATTTTTTATATAAGTTAGTTTTGTAGTCACTATCTTTTAGAGCTTTATTATAGAAATTAATATGTTCATAGAAAATCTTCTCATTTGTTGAATTTGTACTTATTCTCTTTTTAATAGATAAAGGTATATGCTTAATTATAGATGGAGGATGATTAGATTTAGGGTGAGTATACAAAGGATTACTATTGGGTTTTTTGTAAGGAAAAATCTAATGTTATATCAAGGAAGTTCACTTATAGTAATTTTTAAGTTCAGGCATTTAAATTCTGTATATATTATCTTTCTATTATTATTGACTTTAAAGTTCGTAGAGTTCTTTATAGCCATAAGTTCATCATCTCTGTATAATTTAATGCCAGTTATATCAATTTCATAAATTGTATACAATAAAAAGACCTATAAGGTCAGAAGACCCAGCTGAATCTAGTGATCCCATTGTGATGTCAAAGTGGTGATAAGAATTTTTTATTCATTGCTCACCTCTATGCATTAGTATGGATGTTTTCGCATTTATAATAATTCTCTTTTCTTCTTCTGTTACGTCTGTATACTGGGTAGCAAAGTCCAACGCATTCATGAACAGTTCTTTTGATATTAGTTGATAGTAATTTTCAATATCAAACTGCATTAGTGTACAAGTTGTTTTATCTTTGATATCAGTAAACCAGTTTGTTACTTCTTTGGTATTAATCCAAAGGTTCAATCCTATGTTTTCTTTAATTTGTTGATTAACCCTTTCTAGGATTTTTTTTTACTTATTTTACCGATCTCAAGTCTTGTTGGGTTTATTATCCTTGTAGTTGGATTAGCTTCAAAATCTGGTTTGTGCTCCTTTATTGTAATATAGCACTCATTTTCGATAAGTTTACCTAATCTATCACTAATCTTTAGTTTATCTATGATTTTTTTACTGCTAATGTTAATGTTTTTCACCATCTTGAGGTAATTATATATATATATATATATATATATATATATATATATATATATATATATATATATATATAGATGAATACGAAAATGACCTAGATAGAAAGATAGATATATAGGTAGATAGTTAGACACGCAAATGATCAATACAGATAGATAGGTACAAAATGACCTAGTAAGATACACATGAAAATGTATATCTACAACAAACCCTAGTAAAAAAATTAAGTTAATCATATACTGCACTAAATCTAGTATATCCAACTCAATTATTCGCAATGATTCTTCTCCCCACGTTAGCGATTTGTCAAAAAAACCAACATAGTTTACAAATTCAAGGGCACTTTGTGAGATTGCATCTCGAACGGACTAAATAATATTGATGTTGGTCACACCACAAACTCACTTTCACGAGGCTTGACACTACATTTAAATAATAACTCTAACATTTTTAGGCATTTAAAACAACATGCCTGGCCGCATACACAATTCCGGAAAATCCTCATTGAAAACACAACGATACTTAAACATTGAAAACAATAAACATGAACTTCTGAAGCTATATACATAAAACAGTTGAAACCCAACCTGAACAAAGTAAACTACGAAATCTCCACAAATATTCTTAAATGCCTATAATTGATAACAGAAGCCATTGGTTTATACCAACAGCTTCCCATTCTTAATACTTCTCGTTTTCACTGTTGTGTGGTCACGTGTGATATCATGAGCTGCGGTGCGATTTTCGCTTCCAGCGTCTTGTATGCAGGAGTTTTTCGTTGCTTAGAAAATTTCCATGCAAACAAAACAGACTATCATTATTGTTTTGTCCGTGTATTGGTTAATATATTGTAATGTAATTGTCATCTTTGATAATGGCTTATGTAAGCCGAAAGCTTAGATAGGATTAAAAAATATGTATCAATATTGTGATTTTCTTTCATCTTTTCATAATAATGCTACTAAGCTTATCAGACGATATGAAAAGAATTTACACAAATAAATAGATAAAACTTGTCTATATTATTCAATGAAACATGCATCAATATATATATATATATATATATATATATATATATATATATATATATATAGGTATATAGAAAAATAAATATATAGGAAATGAGATAGATAGATACGAAAATGATCTAGATAGAGAGATAGATACATAGAAACTGACAGAGGTAGATAGAAAGAAAGTGACATAGATAAATAGATAGATATGAAAATGACCTAGATAGATAGAGAGATTGATAGAAAATGACCGCGATAAATAGATAGAAAGAAATAGAGATAGATAGATAGATAGATAGATAGATAGATAGATAGATAGATAGAGAAACTGATTGACAAAGACATGGACAAATTTACACATATAGATAGATAATTACATAGATGAACTTACTGACAAGGACATGCATAAATTTAGGTAGATAAACAGACTGACAAAACACGAACACATTTGCATAGATAATAATAATAGACTTAGGTGTGCACTAGCTTTCTGAATGGTAATGCCGATACTTTATGTGAGTCAATAAGGACTGTAATCTCTTCTTCTTTTTTCTTCACACATTTCTCTTCTCCATTCCAATTCTGTGTCAATTCTGGCACTGATCCGAACCTAGAAGCTCTAGCCTCGAATTACCATCACTGCCAGCAATTCCAGATGACCCCGACTCTCATTGATGTATGAAATAACATGAAAGACAAAATCCGCTGGAAATATCAATGGGAGTTTTTAAAACTGACTTCTCTCATTTGTCAGCGCTCAAATCTTGTCGCCACCAGATGTTACTTGACTCGGAACTGGCGCCAGTTCAATCGAACGCACGCAAGACACGTTATCGACTCAAAATTGCAAACCCGCTGATCCAACTAATTAACAGAATTTACAAAATGCCAGGACCCAAGTATTCAGCTCTAATCTGATGTAACTAACCAGAGCATCAAGTATAATGCATAACTGCAGATCATATAGATAAGGCAAACAACCAAAAGAGCTTTTACTGTCAGGACATTTCGAGGCCTTGGTAAATTGATGCTACTTCAAGCATAAATCCCTTTAAATCAACGTTGAATGTGTGGTCGTTCAATTTGGCAAGATTTCTAAAGTTATATTAATCCCATTAGAAATGTAAATAATTCCGTCGTCTAAGTATTTTGAAACGGATCCTGGGATTTTGAACCGTTTAAGAAATAAGATGAGTTAAAGGCTTAAACCTTCTTGCACTTATGATATCTATCTAATTAATCAGCTGTCTCTTAATCTTGAGATTTTTACAACAGGGAAAATGGTGGCACGTATTCGGTTTTCACTTGGTCACAAGCCTACTGATGAAATGATTCCTCGAAATATTATATTATTTCTTGGAGTTTAAGGCATATATTTCTGTTTGAATTTCTATGATGAGGAGTGGCCATTATTTAAAGTGGGACTAATATCCTCATTTTCTTTTTTACTATCACAACGTTTTAAACGGAACACTTAATTCAAGCTACGGAGATAGATTGAACAAATGTTTCATTTCGAAATTCTCTGAAGAAGGACGGATGGTACAAGGCCCTAACGTTTGGATAGTAAGAACAAAGATGAGGACTAAATCTGTCGCATAATAATGTGAATTAAAGGATATATGTTCTGATTTCCTCAAATACGTTTATCAATTCCATCATCAAATGCAAAGTCTTATTCTACCAAAACCTTCACCGAAATATTAGTCTAATACTGTGTAGTAAGTTCGATCCACATTAGATTTCCCATAGAAAGATATGACATTAATGATCCAAGAAGAGTTGGTATTTTGTAAAATCAACCAACTTAAAATAATGCAGTCTTTCGTCATTTCATGCCTTGCGTTTGAAATTGAACAAGCCGAACGAGATTTACAATGAATACTTGATCACGCGTTCAGAATATGAGTGAAGATGTTGTTATTTACAAAGGTTAAGTTTTGTACGGCACATGACCAAATGAAAAGTGTTATGGATAGAAAGATTGTGTTGAGACAATTACTCACTTGAAGAGTTCGTGCATGCCTTGAAAATCACCATTCTTACGCTTGGTTTCTACAATGATCTCAGACACTAAAGTCAATAAGAAAAAGACCCGTATCTCAGCGACAAGACAAGCTAAAATGCAGATTAGCCAATTTCACCGTTTACGCACATTTGTACTCACTTTAGCACTAATGCCCTCGAGAAAGGCATGAATATGTTTCTTCTTGCTACGTAAAATGGTTGAATAGCAAATTAAACTGTGTTCTCCAGTCTTTGGTGATCGTCCTGGGTATGACGATAAACTACATCCGCGTCCTGGGTAAGACGATCAGAAGGTTTTGAGGAGCGTGGAACCACCTCTTAATTGTTGATGTTCCCAGGTCCACCTTGACCCGGAGTGGTAGCACCTGTTAGGGTCCCAACTATGGGCAAATAGTTAACTTCCAAACTGGGGTAAAAACACTATGAAAGTGTAAAAATGTGTTTTAATACCAGAAATACTTTGTAAAATATATTACCAGCAATAAATATTTGAAGAAAAAAAAATATTACCAGCTATACATTTTTGAAAAAATATTATATTTTAAAAAAAATAAATATTACGAGCAATACATTTTTGAAAAAAATTATTACCAGCAATACATTTTTGAAGGAAAAATATTACCAGAAATAGATTTTTGACAAAACAAAATATTACAAGTAATAACAATTTTGTCGGCATTAAATAACCCATTGAGGTTGATATGCCGTAAAACAAACCAAACCAAAGAAAAAAACAGTCTTTGGTGACAACTAATCTAAGAAAAGGAAAACTTAAAATTCCATGGAGTAGACAATGGGAAACTACACTACTGTCTTTTACGATAATGCATGTCAATTCACAAATGATAAAGAAAAGGACTGTGGAGGGCCGTGATCGCCTACGTTTTTCTTCAGCAGAAATGTATTGCAATAAGAGAAATTAGGTGTTTTCCTTCCCTGGCGCTGTACTGGTGATGTTCATTACTATATATTGCCTAGAAATAGGAAACTAATTTCAAATCAGAATCAATGGTTTGTTGTTTCGTATTCAATCTTGCGTTTGAAAATAAAAATTCTTAAAGTCAGTTTGTTTGTTTGTTATACTAAATTTACACCAATACAAGGCTCGGGAGCCACTAAATGTACAGGATTAAAATGATTATGATGAAAGATGTATTAGATATGATTGAAAGAGGAAGGAAATGAAGCTTATGATGATAAGGATAGAATACGATTGACCCTCGACTTAAGTAGGCTAAGTGTTCAGGGTGGTATTTATGTGGGAGGCTATTCCACAAACAGCAGTTCTCAAGAATTTTCTCTTTATCTTTTGAATAGTGCAAAAAAATGGGAGTGATTCGTTTCAGTGGAATTAGTACATCCTGTCATACCAGTAAAAGTCTGAACTGGTGGAACTAAAGAATGAAATTCAACTGGACATTTGCTATGGAAATAGCGATTAGCTTGCGACGTTGCGTCTGTAGGTAAGGATTTGACAGCTGAAAAATTCAAGATAGCAATACAACAAAAGCAACAACAATTGGTATTATATGTGACCGGTTATCAGAAAGTATAGCTATATCTGAACACGTCAGTTTGTCATCTAGAGTCCCTACAGAAAACTATATTCTTTAATCATTTCACTCCAAGCAAGGCAATAAAACCACTAAGAGGCAAGGTGTAACTGAAAGGAAAGAAGACAATAAAAGGACAGTAACACAAAAGATGGCGATTGACATTGGATTTAAATGTTAGATGGCTAAAGTTGTTAGCGAAGCAAGCCGGAAAAGAGTTCCACACGCGAGAATTGCGATTAAAGAAACTATTAGCATAGAACTTATGGTTACATGTAGCCATTTCAATTGTAAAATCATGAGACCTTGCCGCCAATTAAGTACTGCGCTTAAATTCATAAAGTCAAGCTAACGTAGAGGAAAGTTTATCAGAACAATTGCCATGAAAGTATTTATAGAAAAGTCACAGAGATGCTACGTTATGCTGGTGTGAAAGTGAGTGAAGCCAAGATGCCAGACCAGGACCAATAGCATTACAGATTTTCATCGGATTTTATTAAGAATCTCTAAATATATAACAGGAGCATCAGACCATGACTGACAGCAATATTCAAAGCAAGGGCGTATTTTACAACTTGCACTTGTAAAATCACTTTACTTCTCTAGAAATTTTCCAATTTTTCTCTGATTACCTCAAGAAAACCGCCATTATTCCCTTCCGTCCTGATTTATCGAGTATATATAATGGCTATTAACAGTAAAGCAATGTCTGTTAAGCGACCCCCAGGGACCGACTCAGTATTTTAAGCTCATTCACACATCCCATTCTTCGACAGCAATAGAATCTATTAGTCTGAAATCAAAATAAAATTTAAAGTTTTCTACAAGGAAATAGCAAGAAGTTTAATCAAATAGCAATTAAGATTCTGAATTCTTAGCCAGATAAAATCAATAACCTTTTATCCGTAAGTTAGTATGAAAGTTGTGAAGCCAAGATTCTAATGAAAACAAGTGAACAGAAGTTATGAAGTTTTATTCAGATTTAAACTCGCTAGGGTGCAGCAGAACTGAAATAGGCGTAGCCATTTTATAACTTGCTCTTAGGGGAGATAACCTCAGACGTAACTGCCAAACAAAAGGGGAACAACGCTTATCGATTACACAGGCCTACACTTTTTAAAATGCTGCATGGGATGATTTGGGTAAATTTTGAACAATTTTTGGATATTACATCCAAAAATAACATCCATTTCCACTATTAGACCGAAAATAAGACAAGAACAGTGTGAATATGTCAAAGAAACTGGAAAAAGAAATGGGATATTTATCATGAGAATGATGTAAAAGAGAGAAATACAAATGCAGAAGGATATGAACGTATGCTTTATAGGTTAAGCAAAAACATTTGACAATGTATGGCACATTGATCAATATGAACTGCTGGAAAAAAATTCGACCTATTTAGAAAAACATGTTAGAATAACCCAGAGCTTAAAATGAGAACAATCTCTTTGCATACGGTTAGAGAATATACTGAGTAGCTATACAAAAATAGAAATGCGTGTGAGACAAGGAGGCTCCTTCTTCCCGGATTTATTCAACCTCTACAGCAAAGCGATCCTAAGAGAACTGGAGACCCTATCAGGATTTATTATCGGTGGTTGTAATCTTAACAATATAAGGTACGCAGACGACACTGTGTTGGAAAAAAGAAGTAGAGGAACTCCCAGACAGTGAAGTAGAAGAAAGCTAGACAAAAGGACTATCAATTGCAAGAAGGCAGAAAGTATGGTCAAGAGGAAAAAGG